AGATAGATAGATAGATAGATAGATGATAGATAGATAGATAGATAGATAGATAGATAGATAGATAGATAGATAGATAGATAGATAGATAGATAGATATAGCTAGATAAAAGATAAAGAGAGAGGGTGATTAAGAGAGAGATGATTGATCAGTGGGTGGGTGGGTTGAGTAAGTAGGTAGGTAGATAGATTGATTAATCAATATGAATAAAGCTAGTTTGGCCTAGTGATTAACATAATGGCCTTGCAATCAAATGACCATTAGTCCTAGACCCACCATAGGTATGAAAGCTGGGGGGGGGGGGACTTTGGGCCAATCTCTCAGTCCAACTCACCTCACAGGGTTGTTGTGGGGAAAATAAGAGGAGGAAGGAATCACTGATCTATTCGTCCCCTTGAGTTATTTACAAACAATAATAAAGGCGGGCTAAAAAAAAAAGATTCCAATACATACGTAATAAATACATAATTTGGGGTTCTTTTCCTTCCTCGCTCCCCATCCGGCCTTCAGGCCTTCAGCAGAGCTCATCGGATCGGTCAGGCGAACAAGGTGATGATCTACCGCTTCGTCACACGGGCCTCCGTGGAGGAACGGATCACCCAGGTGGCCAAACGCAAGATGATGCTGACTCACCTGGTCGTCCGTCCAGGGCTGGGCTCCAAGTCGGGGAGCATGTCGAAGCAGGAACTGGACGACATCCTCAAATTTGGCACAGAGGAACTCTTCAAAGACGAAAATGAGGGTGAGAGACTGGACCGTGTGTGTGCATGCGCGCGCGCGTGTAATCCCTCTAAGCAGGAGATTTAATTGCAGTACTCTAACTCTGGATTCCAAGTAATGCATCCATAGCAAGCAAAACCGAGATTCCTCAAAAGAATGGCTTTATTGGATGTATCACATTGACACTCTGAATTTTTCCGTGGTTTTCACCTAATTAAAAGTAAACGTTTGTCACTCTCAAAACAATCAGTCACATGGTTCAATCAAAGCGTTGCTGGTTACCCGGTGACCTCACTCCTCCTTCCCCTGATCAGGTGTTGGAATGTCCTTGGTTCTCAAGAGAAAGTACCGTATGTTTTGGAGTATAAGATGCTCCGAAGTATAAGATGCACCTAGCTTTTGGGGAGGAAAATGAGGGGAAAAAAAATCTCCCTCTGCCTCCCAGCACTTTGCCTCCTCAAAGCAGCTGTGATATTTTATCCTCCCCATCCTGTTCCAGGCGAGAACAAGGAGGAAGACAGCAGCGTTATCCACTATGATAATGAAGCCATCGCCCGGCTCCTGGACCGTAACCAGGACGCCACCGACGATGCCGACGTCCAGAACATGAACGAATACCTCAGCTCCTTCAAGGTGGCGCAGTACGTGGTTCGGGAAGAGGATAAGGTCAGTTGTGGCGTCTTGGCTGTTTTTGGGTCTTAGCTAGTGCAAAGGGGTTTGCCAGCATTCTCTCGACTCGCAAAGCATCCCTGGCCTGCTCTCGAGTTGCCATAGGAAAGGGTGGGGGGTGGGAAACCGATGAAACGGCACAGCAGCAAAAGACAGATGCACATTCCAGACCTGTCTCTTCAAGGCTGTACCCCAGGGTTACTTACAGCAGCCGCAGAACCCCACACCTTGGGAGGAATGGGGAAACAGGGTCATAACTGGGCTGTAAATTACGTGGGGTCAGAGCTGGCTTCACTTGGGAACTTGTGACATGAAGCTCCTGATAAATAACTGGATTTCTTTTGAAGCTTGGCTGGAGGCTCATGATTTAATTAGGGCATCCATCGGAACCCTGACAGCAAGCCAGCTCTCTCAAAACTAATCAAAATGACCGGGAACCCTGACACATTCAGCATGAATAGGACAAAGTGATAGAACATCAGAGTCGGAAGGGATCTTGGAGGTCTTCTAGTCCAACCCCCTGTTCAAGCAGGAGACACTACCATTTCAGACCAATGTTTGCCCAAGCTCTTCTTAAAAACCTCGAGTGATGGAGCTCCCACAACTTCTGGTGGCAAGCAGTTCCACTGGTGAATTGTTCTAATTGTGAAGATGTTTCTCTTCAGTGCTATGTGGTTCCTCTCCTCCATCCATTGCTTCTTGTCCTGCCTTCTGGACTCTTGGGGTATCGGTTGACCCCCCCTTCTTTGGGGCAGCCCCTCAAATATTGCAACGGATGTGTCTGGACTACCTTTTCCACATTTTTTGCAACTGTCTTAATACATACCGTATTTTTCGGAGTATAAGACGCACCAAGATTTTGAAGAGGTAAATTTTTAAAAAAAGTTTTTGCACTCTGCAGACCTCCCAAACCCTCTGCACGCCTCATTTTTTGTGAAAATGTTTTTTTTGGGTGGGGGGGGGGACCCAAAAATGAGGGGGGAAAATCCTGTTTTTTGCAAAAACGGGCCCATTTTTTGCCACAAAAAGGGCATGCGTAGCATTCGGGAAGCTTGTAGAGTATTCCTGAGGGTTGGGGGGGGGCAAAAACGAGCAAAAAACGGCCCATTTTCCGCTCGTATTTGCTGTCCCCAGGAGCACTTTGCAGGCCTCTCAAACCCTCCGCATGTCCATTTTTGCAAAGGGGTGGGGTTTCGGGAGGCCAAAAATGCTGTATTCAGTATATAAGACACACCCAGATTTTCACCCTCTTTCTTCGGGGAAAAAGGTGCATCTTATAATCTGAAAAATACGGTGAGTAACTTTCTTAATAGGCGGTGGGAATGCAGTAGACATAATATATCTTTGACTTCAGCAAAGTGGGTGGGAAAATAGCTGGCTGCGGGGTTCAGGGAGTTGAAGTCCATCCACGTTAAGGTGGCCAAGTTTGAGACATTTTGCTCTGTGTGTATTTGTGTGTTCCAATCTCTCTCTTCTCTCTCTCTCTTCCTCTTTCTTCCTCTCTCTCTCTCTTTCTCTTTCTCTCCTCCTCTCTCTCTCTCTCTCTCTCTCTCTCTCCACCGATAGATTGAAGAGATTGAACGGGAGATTATTAAGCAGGAAGAAAACGTCGACCCCGATTACTGGGAGAAACTGTTGAGGCATCATTACGAGCAGCAGCAGGAGGACCTGGCTCGCAATCTGGGCAAAGGGAAGCGGGTGCGAAAGCAAGTTAACTACAACGACGCTGCCCAAGAGGACCAAGGTCAGTGGTTCAGAAACGAAAAACGGCACCCCTCTGCCCCCCCACCCCCACCCCCGGAAACTACCTCAGCTAAAACCCAAACCGGCTTCAGGTTTTGAGTCTGACACGTAGTTTGCTGAAAAACTCCTCCTCTTTTAACGACCCCATAATCCCTTGCAGGGGTGGAGTCTGGGCAGTTGAATGAAGCTGAGTGTTTACTGGCCGGATGCCTTTACCTGTTGCCAATGCGGAGTTATATTCGGCAGATATATTCTTGTATTCGCATACAAGTCTAATAAATGGAATGGAATGGAATTATACCCAGAGAGAGAAATATCGGCCTCTACCTAGGATTGAACCCATATCCTCCTGATTGTGAGGCGAGAGCTCCACCTCTAGGCCACCACACCACCCTCCAACAGCTTGTTTAGTCCTCATCTTCTTTTAACGACCCCATAATCCCCTATGGAGTGGAATCGGGGCAACTGAATGGAGCTGAGTGTTCTAATGGCCGGATGCCCTTCCCTGTTGCCAGTGCGGAGTTTTGTTCAGCATTCTCATCATACACAGAGAGAGGAAAATAACGGACTCTGCCTAGGCCTCCATTTGGGAGGTGTGAGCTCCACCTGTAGGCCACTGTTACCCCCTCTTTTTTTGTAGCATTTTTGTAGTTTGCTCAAAAACTACACAGCTATAAACCAGTAATTAGTGAATAAGGGAGCAGAAGTTGGGTTTTTCAAGATCCCGGAGAAGACGCATCTATACTGTAGGTCCGTACTGTGTTAAGGGTCCTTCAGCTCTTGTGTAAAGGGGCTTTTGGGGCAGGGTACAAAAACAGAGAAATTGGCAGAAGATAGTTCTGTTAGGTATAGTACTAGAAAAGGACGATAAGGCAGGTCTTGCATATATATATGTATGTATGTATGTATGTATGTATGTATGTATGTATGTATGTATGTATGTATGTATGTATGTATGTATGTATGTATGTATGTATGTATGTTATATTTATGCTGATAAATAAATAAAGGGAGACTAGTATAGATCTATTTCAAGCTATTTAGCTCTCATCAGCTAGCCATACCCAAGTTTGGGAATCGAACCTGTGCTCCATTGCCTCCCAGGCAGGGAGTTAACCATTTGAGCTACAGAGAACGACTCCTTATCAGCCAGCCAGGGTGGGAGGTAGATACTTAAAGTCACAACCCCTGGTATGCCCAAGTATGGGAGGAAGGTCACACTTCCACTCTCTGTCATTAGACCCATATATATATGTAGGTCTCTAGTTATTCGGGTTTTCTCCCGCATAAAATTGGAGATGTCTTGGCGACGTTTCGACGAAGTCTCATTCGTCATCTTCAGGCTTCTTCAGGCTTGGTGCTTCCAGGAGCAATGTGAGATCCTGGAAGCACCAAGCCTGAAGTAGCCTGAAGATGACGAATGAGACTTCGTCGAAACGTCGCCAAGACATCTCCAATTTTATGCGGGAGAAAACCTGAATAACTAGAGACCTACATACTGACACCCGCGAAAACCTCAGAAAACACACACACACACACACACACACACACACACATATGAGGGATGTTGGTTAGCAGTTCGGCGGTTCGAATCCTTGCCGCCGCGTAAACAGAGTGAGCTCCTGTGACTTGTCCCAGCTTCTGCCATCCTAGCCGTTCAAAAGCACGTAAAAAATGCAAGGAGAAAAATAGGGACCACCTTCGGTGGGAAGGGAGCAGCTTTCCATGCTCCTTCAGCCTTCAGTCATGCCGTCCACATGACCACGGAGACGTCTTCGGCTTTGTAAAAGGAGATGAGCACCGCCCCCTAGAGTCGGGAAGGACTAGCACATATCTGCGAGGGGAACCTTTACCTTTACTTTTTAATTTATTTTTATTTATGAATCCCCCAGTCAGTGTGTTTTAAGATGGGGTGGACTTCGACTCCCAGAATCCTCCAGCCAGTGTGATTTAAGATGGGCGGGCTTCATGGCTTGGCTGGAGAATTCTGGGAGTTGGAGTCCAACCTGTCTTAAAGTGGACAAGCTTGAGAAAAACAAAAGACTTGCTTTATTCTTCTGGACTTCAATTTTGGGAGCTAATCCCCAAAAAATCCCCGTCTTGTATCGCTTGCAAATCGGCATTCTGTTTTTCTTTTTTCTTCTTCTCTGTATTTGTTTTCAGACAATCAGTCTGAATATTCCGTCGGCTCTGAAGAGGAGGATGAAGATTTTGACGAGAGGCCGGAAGGTAATGAGGGCTGGTTGGGTCTTCGTGCTGAAGGTTCTGGAAAGGCTCTGAGGCCTCCTTTAAGAGTCCAGGCATCCAATCTAGAACACTCCCTTCCTTGTACGGCCTTCGGTCTCAACAGAATGAAATGTGTGGCCCCTTGCTCAATAGTAGTAACTGTGAGGGGGATCTTGGAGTCCTAGTGGACAACCATTTAAATAGGAGCCANGTGAGAACAATGAATCAGTGGAACAGAAGTTGCCTCCAGAAGTTGTGGTTGCTCCAACATTGGAGATTTTGAAGAAGAGTCTGGACAGCCACTTGTCTGGGATTGTACAGGTTCTCCTGCTTGAGCAGGGGGTTGGACTAGAAGACCTCTGAGGTCCCTTCCAGCTCTGCCCGTTTCCTGGCAAAACTTGCTGCCGGTTTTACGAAGTTATAAAAAAGTTTTTGAAACAGCAGTTATAGGCAGTCCACCACTTACGACCATGATTTCCTGTTGCTAAGTGAGACCGCGGTTAGGTTGAGTGGCCCGATTTGGCGGTCTCTTTTGATGGTTCCGTTGCTAAGCGCCTGGATTCTGATCACGTGACTATGGGGATGCTGCGAGGGCCCTCAGTGTGAAAAACGGTCGTGAGTCCCTTTTTCCAGAGCTGTTGCAACTCTGAACGGTCACTAAACAAGCCGTCGTAAGTGGAGGACCGAGGGTGCTTTCATTTTTCTCGAGACGTTCGACTTTTGGAGAAGCCGAAACGGGGCCGTGTTCTCATGGCCGTGAGGTTTCACACCTGCCTTCTTCCCCTTCTGACTTGAGTCTCGCTGACGTGTGTGTGTGTGTGTCTGTTTTTCCCAGATGACCAAAATGCTGGACCTGCTTGAGGACTTCCTTGACTACGAGGGCTACAAGTACGAACGGATAGACGGCGGCATTACCGGAGCCTTGCGCCAAGAAGCCATAGATAGATTTAACGGTGAGTACAGAGGCCACAAAGTACCAAAAAGGGACTTGGTAACTCAGGGGCTAAAACGCCCAGCTTGTCGATCAGAAGTTCGGTGGTTTGGCGGTTCGAACCCTTAGCGCCGCGTAAACGGAGGGAGCTCCCGTGACTTGTCCCAGCTTCTGCCAACCTAGCCGTTCGAAAGCAGGTAAAAAATGCAGGTAGAAAAATAGGAGCCACCTTTGGTGGGAAGGTAACAGCGTTCCGTGCGCCTTCGGCATTGAGTCATGCCGGCCACATGACCACAGAGACGTCTTCGGACAGCGCTGGCTCTTTGGTTTTGAAACGGAGATGAGCACCGCCCCCTAGAGTTGGGAACGACTAGCACAGATGTTTACCTTTACAAAAGCCACTTGAGGTGATTACCTGTGTTTCCCCCCAAATAAAACCGGGTCTTATTTTGTTTTGGGCCCCCAAATAAGCCCTATTTTTCCCATGTACCCACTTCTTCTGCTTGTTCCCAGTGGGGCAGGAGGCCCTGCAATGCAGGAGAGGATAGAGCTGCCCATTGCCCCCTCACCGGCTTACCGCAGGGCCCACATAGCCAAGTCACCTACATCTTGACATCTGTCTCATGGCAGTGATTCCCAAAAGCCCCATCCAGCAAGACCCTGCGTAGCCGTCGGCCCACTTCCGCTTGCGGAGCAGGAGGCCAAGCGACAGGACGGTGCCCCCAGGTGAGGTGGGGGCACTGCAGCTGCCTCACGCGCCCCGCACCAGCCTACCTCAGAGGCCATCCACGCCCCAACGTCTGCCTCGCGGATGTGGCACCCAACACACCGCGTAGCCTCCTGCTCCGTTGCGGCCACCAGCAAGCAGGAGTGGGCTGACGGCCACGTGGACTCCTGCACGTGGATAGCCTGACCGTGAGGGCCCTGAGGTTGGTGTGGGGCACGTGGGACGGCTCCACCGCCCAGCGTCACCTCGTGGCCGTGTCCCTTTGAGCAACCGAGTGGAATGGACGGGCGGCGCCGCAGGTTCTTAAGCGTGGGTTATTTTGGAGGTAGGGCATGCAAAACACATGCTAGGGCTTATTTTTGGGGATAGGAGACAGGAGATGGCCTTTGTGTTTTGAAATTCCTCTCCCTCTCTTGGCTGCAGCAAGCAAGCAATTTCCAACAGCGTTCCAAATATTCAATATTTCACCTTGTGGGTGGGGGTGGTGTCCCCCCCCTCCCCTCAGTTACTCACCCAACCATTCCTTTCCAGCCCCAGGAGCTCAGCAGTTCTGCTTCCTGCTTTCGACGCGAGCTGGCGGTTTAGGGATCAATTTGGCCACGGCAGACACGGTGATCATCTTCGATTCTGACTGGAATCCCCACAATGATATCCAGGCGAGTCTCCTTCTCTGTCAGGAAGACATAGCAAACACGAGGAGTGGTCCTTTGTGTGTGTGGGGGGGGGGTGGGGATCAGCCCAAAGATTCTACCCTCTGGCCCTTCACAAGGAGCCCCGCTCATCCAAAGCAAGCCATGCCATCCATTGCTTTTTATTTAGGATTAGGGTTTAAGAGATGTGTGAAGGTATCGTAAGCCTCAATTGGACGCTGTCTCTGCCTTCCATTAATGTCTTCAGGCAGCCCCAAATTTATTGGGAAGCCCACCCTCAATTCTCCCTCCATCCCGAGCGTCCTTGATTCATTTCCTATCGATCTGAATGTAGGGATGTTCTGTAAGCTACCCAGAGTTACCTGATGATAAGATGGACGGCCAATAAATTGGATAGATGATGGATGGATGGATGGATGGATGGATGGATGGATGGATGGATGGATGGACGGACGGACGGACAGACAGACAGACAGACAGACAGACAGACAGACAGACACTAGATAGATGGATGGATGGATAGACAGGCAGGCAGATAGATTGATAGATAGATAGACAGAAAGATAAACACACAGACAGACCTGGATGGATGGATGGATGGATGGATGGATGGACAGATAGATAGACAGACAGATAAACACACAGAC